TCACCAAACATGATTTTGGAGAAAAGATAAGAATTCGCATTCCGACAAGAGAAGAATGGGAAAGCAACCGAGTAATGAACACTCAAGAGATAGCAGTCTACACAGATGCTTCCGCAAATTCAGGGGGCACAGGTGTGGGCATCTTCTCAGAGAAACTAGACATCCGACGATCTTTGAGGCTATCGGATGGCTGTAATGTTCTACAAGCAGAGGTTTACGCCATAAAGGAAGCGGCTAGTTGTATACGAGAGAAAATTGCTGATAGACCAATAGGGGATATAGTGATATACTCTGACAGCTTGCCCGCATTAAGAAGCATCACCATGCAATCAGTGAGATCGAAAACTGTGATGGAATGCCGAGAAGCACTGTCCTGGCTGCGTCGGGGTGGGGCTACTCTGTGCTGGGTGCCAGGCCACAGCAATGTGGTGGGCAATCAGGAAGCAGACAGACTCGCCAAAGACGGGGCCAGGGGAGAGGCCGTGGCAGATGACCCACCACTTTTGACGATCAACACACTGAAGGAGGCTATAGGAACTGCCATCAAGGCCAAGCAGCAAGAGACGTGGCAACACCGTGAGGACTGTGCTACAGCTCGAAGACTATGGCCAGTGGTAGATAGCAAAAAGACAAAACAGCTACTAGAGCATAAAAAGGACCTAGTACGCATAATTGTAGGTGTCGTCACTGGAAACTGTTCCACGGGGGTAAACCTCGTAAGATGGAAAGTTTCCGACGACGACTACTGCAGAGAATGCGGAGAGGAAGAAGAAACCATAGAGCACCTGCTGTGCCACTGTCCGGCACTGGAATACCGACGCATTAAAACTTTAGGGCAAGGTTTTTTGGAGGGACTAGAGGAAGCAGCAGAAGCCAACATCAGCGACATCGGGAACTTTGCAAAGAGCTGGAAGTGCTTTAACGCAAAGAAAGAATGAGAGGAAGGTTTGGTAAAACAATACAGGGGTATCGCAATGGGCCCAAGGCCTCCGAGTGAGGGATCAAATATGATCCCAAACCCCAGCAACCTAACCTAACCTAACCTAAATAAAAACGTTACGGCTAACATTATAGCCTTCATCAGTGTTGTGTAATATGAAAAAAATAGTGTCGAATAAAATCTAAAAAATTACATATAAAATATTCACACCACACACCACATAATGTTTACTGCAATTAATAAACTAATATAAACTTGTCAAAAGATGACCACATATTTTTTAAAATTATTATTCTTAACTCTAAAACTATCTACATTGACCATGGAGTACGATTTCAGCCATATTGTAAAACATTTGCTGCATTTGTATGGTTCATAGTTGATTTGTCAAAGTATTTATTACTATAAATAGGTATATATATTATATTTATTAACTGTATAGTATGTGCATTTCATGTAAACTATATCATTTTTAAAATACAAACCAAAAATATGAGGAATAATTATGTTTTCCATGTATTCTACAACACATTTACTAATCCGTAGCATCTAACTAGCGTGACGTCATAAATCTCGCTCTGAGGCTGTTCTATTAGAGACGGCATTGCGTCAGCATGGTAGTTGACAGCATGGCAGTTGCTAACCTAATAAAATTAACACTAGAAAAGCCCGCAGGAACTGTAAAATTCAAAGTTATTCGTTTCACAGACTATACTATATCCGTATTGTAGCACATTTTTAGACAACTTCTTTATTTTTTAGATTTTGATGGTCAAACATCAACAAAATATTCCTTATGTTTGGACTAAATTTACTCGAAAATAAACACATAATTTAAAATCTCGTTACAAATACATTGAAGTTTTGTGATTACAGTGATATATAATTTATACGGTTTTGTAACAAATTGCTCGCTATTTTATGGCAAATGCTGAAGCTCTGCAAACCTTAATCAAGCGTTAATCAAAGCACGTGTGTTTGGAATTTTGAGTGTGGCTTAAGACAACAGGATCGGGCTAAGCAGATTTCTGAAATATAATATAAACTGCCCGTCAGATTAAATCCCACAGCGATTTTTTTACTCATGTTCAACGAGTTGTAAATTTGAAAAAAATGGACCGATTTTGTTGATTTTTTAGCATATTAAAGATCATTTTTCGTAGATTGATCCGATTTTTCTAAATTTTGTATGAGATTTAGTTTTCTATGATATACAGGGTGTGAAAAAAAGGAATGTAATTTTTGTGTTGCTGCCATTTTGCCAAAAATGGCAGCAACATTACATTCCTATTTTTACTAGAATTATAAGTTCTCGGTATAGCTAAGACTAATATCTCGGGACGTATTTGGAATTTTTACGATAACTCATCTGGAATAAAAGATAATCAATTTCTACTCTAACTTGTGTTTTTTCTACCTTTCTTAAGAGATATGCTAACAAAACTAAATCGCTGTGGTATTTAATTTGACGGACAGTTTATATTTCCTTCGGACACACACCCGCTTTACCCGACTCCTGAGGGCAACCCAAAAGTACAGCGTAATAGACTCTTACGGCCGTATTCATAGTCGAGCGCCAGCCGCCCGCCGAAAAGAAGCGCTCGCCGAAGATTTCTCCGGCGAGCGCTTCGATATCGGGAGAGAAAAAAAGCTCTTTCATATTCGGCCGCCAGCGCACCGCTGGCTGACGAAAATGACGGCGCGTCGCCAACAAAATTTCACTTCGGGTGGAGGGTTTTAACAACAGGGAACATGTTTTCTTCCTTTTTCTACACAAAATCGGTTATACGAACTTTAACATTCTCTAAATATTTAAATATTAATAATTTAAATATTTTATTGATGTGTCCATTATTTTGTTATAATTCGTTTTAAAGTAATGAATAATATCTTCGTAATCCTTCACTTATAGTAAAAAGATTTACAATTTTTTATATACATATTTTTTTGGCTAGGTATATTTTTGGGTCATAATAAAAAGGATATTAAGTTAATAATTTACATAATTAGGAATTCCATAGGTCTGTTCGGTTTTATTTGAAAGTTTTATGGATTCGTTTTTATTACGTTTATAAATTTTTATAGACCTTAACCTTAACCTATTGGTGCTCTGTTAAGGATTTTAAAATTATTTTAAGGGAAAATATGACCAGAGTAGAAGTAATTTATATTTTTAAATTGACTCTATTTTTTGTTTTTTGTAGATGACTGATGTTTGGTGAATTTTGTATATTTTTTCCAGTTTGTGTAAATTACAAAGAGAATTAATGTAATAAATGTAAAAACAATAGGAAAAATAAAAATTCATAAACATAACAAAAACAAAACGATAAAACATTTAAATGGTCAAATAGACGGACGGAATTCATATGCCTCAAATGTAATGAATAATGGCCTCAAAAATACGAATGTCATCGTTCTCGTTAATCGTCACAATATTATAAATATCCATAATTAATTCAGTTTGCTTGGTGCTTCTTTCAACTAGAGAAATAAACCAGACTAAACTGGCGGACCGCCCGGAGATGGTAAGGACATGCTCCAGTTGCCGCCCGAAAAGCAAGTGTTCTTCGCCTGGAGATCGAATCTTATCCAACCGCCCGCCGGCGAGAGAGCGGTTACTCTATATGACGGATGTGCGCACCTGTTACTCGGAGAGCGCTCGACTCTGAAATAAGAACGAAGAATTTCGGGAAAGCTCCCGCCAGCGGGAGGCTGGTGATCGACTATGAATACGGCCGTTAAAGAACGCTTAAACCATCAAGTCAATCCCACTTTTTCCGAGATTTACTTGAGTGGTACTGGTTTGGATTCTCCCTACAAAAGTACCGGGAATTCCCGGTTCTTTTGAAACGTCAAAGAACCAGGACTCGAGATTATTTATTCCCGTTTTATTTTCGGTACTTTCGGGACTCGGTAACAACAAACAGCAAAAAAAAGAAAAATATTTTTTGTTACATGCGAAAGTCCATTGTTACTTTCTAGCGGTCGAAATCAAACTCTTCTTAATAGTGATGCTCTTACTGTTCTTACTTCTGAAGTTCTTTTGAAGTAAATTATGCTTATTATCAATTATTGATGTTTAAATATGTTATTTTATTATTTAATATACTGTTGCTAAATATATTAGTTATATTTTTTCATGTTGTTTTCATTTGGCATTTGCATTTTTAATTAAAAATGCAAGTTTTTTTTTAAATTTAGTTAAGTTGGTTTATGTTGTTTGATGTCAATTTTAAGTTACCTATTTTTTTTCTTCGCTTGTGTTAATTTGTGTACACATGTTAATTTTCTCATGACTGATTACTTAATAATTTGATATTATCTTCATTTGAAATTCAATTTTTATCGGTTTTACTTTTGAAAACCATCCCTTCCTTTGTTAGGGAAGTTGCTGTTGGCTTGGAAATGAAGATCGCTATTATTTCGTATGTAAAATATTATGGTAAATAGTCGTCATTTCCAAGCCATCTAAATGACTTTTTTCCATCATACGAAATATTCATTACAAAAGAATTTTTATTTTTGTTCTTTATTCTATGTTTAACACGAATAAATTTTCAATACATAAACGCGGATTTTTCATCCAAACATAGTTTCATCAAAGATATTACCGATATTACACATTTTAATATGTCGCATTCAATTACACACCGTCATCGGTATGCTTTGGCTAGCCGAATTAGAGAAAATATGTGTTTTATGCATTGGACGCAGAACGAGTAGGGGCTCCACCGTACAGCACTTGAGACGTAAGGGGAAATCAAATCAGCCTTGTCACGAATTTGCCAATTAGGTTGCGTCTCTCTTCTCTTCTCAATTCCTTCAATCAACGCTAGTACCGATAAATCCAGAAAGCATTCTTTAGAGGCATAGTACCGAAATTCTCGGTTCCGTAAAACAGCTCCAACACCGGAAACCCTAATTAATACTCCCAATTATAGAGTTCAGAATTGGGATCATCAGGGGATAGAAACATCAGGGGGTCGCGGTGATTATACTCCTTCCATACATTTTACAGTTTACATAAGGGGTTAAAGAAAAAAACATGATATTTTACCTGCAAGTGGAGGTCCAATCAAATTAGCGAATCCCTGTACTAACAGCAACAATCCATAGGCGTTCGTGAATCGATCCAATGTAATCAGTTCGACCAGAATCACACAAGTAAGGGAATAATTGGCGGCTATCAAGAATCCGAAAGCTCCGGATATGAGACAGAGACTCGTGTAACCTTGTATTAACGGGATCAAGGCTATGACTCCGCCACACAGACCCATACAAATGGCGTAAATGATGCTGGCGTTGGCCCAAGATCGATCACCGGCCCATCCGAGGATTATCTGGAAAATTGTAAAGTTATACAGAGTGAGTAAGTAATACAATAAAGTGCACAATTACAATAATGAACACAATAAGTACAAATATTTTTAGTGAATTTTCTTAAAAATTTGTAATTTTTTAAAACAACCAACAAAATTGTAGAAATACTATTTTTTTGGTAATATACCTTCTATTCTTTTTTAATCTTTCTAAAATTAGCATAAATTTTTGACAAGTTTTATGTCAATAAGGATTTTTCAGTTGATCCAACCCCAAGAACGGTAAACTAATAGGATTGCTCATCCTCATAAGACGTACGTTCGCCTCTTCCCGCGCTTCAGCTGACAGTTGTGACGTCATTGTAGCCCTTGTCAAAGCCTTCCTTTGAATAAGAAGCCTTCGTGGCCTTGTCATGATAGTGTGTATTATTAGTTGCATATGGTAAACTTATAAAAATACAGCTGTGAAATTTTGAGTTAATTATTTTGTCAATTTTAAATGTGAAAAAGGTGTCTTTAAAGTTTTTCGAGCTATAGAGTGTATAAATACGTTCATTTTGTGTTGTGGATTGTGACAAAGTGCATACTAAGTGCCCACGATTTTGTTCATTAATTATTTTAAAGCAAAATATGGAAGTACTCTAAAAAGAATGCTTGCAAAAGGTGATGCTGGGAACTGCTGTTCTTAAAATGCATTATCCGAGATAATAAGTCTTTAATAATATCATTGATTTGCTGTGTAATGTTAAAGACATATATTTTTAATACATTAAATTATATTAAAGTAATAAAAATATGTTTATTAACTTTAAACAGTAAGTCAGTGATACTTATAAAAATATTTTTTAAAAATTAATGCTTTTAAGCCCCGCCCCTCCAATTCCCCTCAATTTAGCTAGTACTGCCAGGCGACACCAGGTGGCGTCTGTTTCCATTTTTTAACATGAAGTTAGCATTTCTTTAATGTACCTATTCTCTGGGTTAACTGTTCTTGATCCAACCCAAGGATACTATAGAGATAAGGATAGTTCGATTCCTATCTTCCTGCACTGTCAGTTTTTTTACGTCATCTAATGACCGAGTTGAAGTTGGCGCTAAAGATTTTAGACAGTGACAGTTTTTTTTGCATTTGACGGACGAGCGCACAGTGCGTTGATGGTGCGTTGGAAGATAAATTTAGCGGGGCAAAAACGTTTGGTTAGAAATAAGCCAAAAAATGTGTACTGTAAGAATAAATAGTAGACATTCCAATTGGTATAAAAATGCATGAATATTCTTTGTATTTCGATACATTTTTATCAACCAAATTTGGTCATTTTCTGCTCAGCAAGGCAGAGATCATACGAAAACAAAATATTTACAAGTGCTTATATATTTTATTCCAAAGACATATTATGTTGAAGATTGCCAAAGGTATGTACTTTTCTACTGGACGTATATTATTTGTTAAAATCCTTCGTGCCTTTGTTCTGCAGATATCAAACTTTCACTTTTTTTCAAATATCGATATATTGAATGATGTAAAAAAAAATGTTTCATTTCAATCGGATAGTATAAAAACAAAAGAACTCCATCAAAAGGCACTGAGTTGTCTTAGATACTTACTATATTAAAAAAATTGTCTTAGATACTTACTATATATGAATTTACAATTACCGAGTGTTAAAATTAAAATTAAAAATATTAATAAATATTAATATTTTTAAAATAAAATATAATTTTTTAAAATAAAATATAGAGGGTGTCACAAGATTACAAAGTAATTAAAAAATAACTGCTAAAGAGTTTTTTGTAAGTATTTCACCTGATATCATAATTTTATGTATTTGGCAATAGTTTACAATACGGTTTTTGTGTGTCATGTACGAATAATATCATAGTTTTATTATCTTGTATTTATTTATTAATAAATTAAGTTGTTAATAAATAAATAAATTTAACCATATAGTTACAATATATTAGACCATTTGCTACGTTCTTAGATTTTAAGTCCCAAACATTGCTCTTGATTTGTCTTGTCCCGCTAGAATAACCATCCGCCGCACTGTGGAGCGCTGGTCAGCGCGTGACGTAGCATTCGACGGCGACTACGACAGCGGCGATTTGACGCGATCGAACAGTCCTTTAGAATATTTACAGTCCTTGGATCCAACCACTAATTTATTCCACTAATTTCGCCGTTCTAAATGAAGCTTTAGTTATTAAAGTTTACTATAATATACCGAAGTACTTTTTAGGATATTTCTATAATTAAAAAAATATTAACTATCAAAACTTTAGGTCAAAGTTAATTTGTTCAATTGTTGACCACCAAATTACATTAATTTTATACCGCATGCTTCAATTTCAGACAATTTATAGAAGTTTTTATAGAAAAGAACTTTTCTGTATTTTGTTTCTTTTTTTGACCTTTTAAAACAAGATTAATTATAAAAAAGAAAAAATCCTCCCTAGATAAAAGTTTCAACGGTTTAATTAAACAGAAAAAGTTAGTTTTTCATTAAAAAGTTTCTAACTAAAAATCTTAAATACTTTTTAAAAAACCGCTGAGAAAGGAAAGAAAGGAATAATTAATGAAGCTAATATAAACATTTAAGACTCGCGTTGAGAGAATTTTTTTAAAGATATAAATGATATAAAATAAAAATTGTATAGACTCGTTTTTTTTTGTATGTTGTGTACCGCAGTAAAATACCATCTATCATTTTAGCTAATGTTTGCTGCTCCTGACTTTGAAAACTTTTGTTAAGGGTCCCTTTTCATTCTATCCTGCTAATGGCTTTCAAACATTTTCCAACAAGAATTATTCAACCAAAAGGTGGACTGTAATTTGAGGTTTTACTCTTTGCTAGTAGATAAAGTAAAATAAATGTATATTATTAGTAGTTTCATTATTGTTAGTGGCAAAAACTTCCCTTACCTAAACTTTCGATTTATTGGATATAAGCTAATTTAGCCAAAGTGGAAAATCAATTTGATCTGAGTAATTTTGCAAACAAAGTAATTTCAGTATCGATGGACTTGGTAATGAGTTTGTTTACACTTCGATTGATTAAATATTGTGATGGTAGTCTTATTAAGGTTCCCTAATTAACATTCCTTTGGGAATGTTTAACTAATTAAATAATGACCACAACTTTAACTTAGTTTTTTTTATTCTAAGAGCTAAGTGCCCGACACAGTATTGTTGGACCCTGTATAATACAGGGTGTTCCAGAAATAAATGCAAGTATTTTAAAGGGTGGTATATCTCGCTAAAAGAGACATATTTTCTCTTTATCGTTTTTCATAAATTAAATATACAAGAAATAATAAGTTCGTCCAAAATAAGGGTGTTATTTTACTTATTTTACATTTGAACATTTAAAAAATATTATTTTTTGCTAAAATTTTGAGAACCACTGGATCTTTTCTAGATTTTCTTTCTTGTAAATTTAATCTAATACCTATGTCGCCATATTATCAAGAACTTATGTTTTTTAACTAAAAACTAAAAAAAATTCCAAACATTTTTCAAAAAATTTCGAATTTTTATTTTTTTTTTTCGCGAAAAAAAACTCATAGGCGTGTTTCTGGGGCTGAACTATACTACCAGTTAAAATACTTGCACTTATTTCTGGGACACCCTGTATATGATCGAAAAGAAAACAGCGTCATTCTTTATGTAAAATTATATGGGGAATGCCATCGATCACAATTTCCAAGCCAACTGAATGCCGCTTTTTTTCGATCATACGGTATTTGTTACTAATGACTTAAAAAATAGCTGATTAAATAAATAACATTTCTTATTCTTTACTGTAACTTACCTCACCAACCATATTAATAATTCCAATAATAGAAATGAGTATAGATGCGTCCTTCTCAGAGTATCCCAGCTGGTTGGCGTTGTCGGTCAAATAAACGTACGGCACGTCGTACCAGGTGTAAAGAAGAAAATTCGATAAGGCAAACACCAGGTACTTGGAGTCGGCAAAATGGGAGAAATCGAACATATCCACCAGCAAATCCCAAAAGTCCCACAGTCCGGCGTACCACTGAACCTTTTCTTGAGCAATCGTGGTCATCGAGTTTCTGTAGATGTCCGGGCAGGAACTGGCCCTTAAACGGTACCTTTTTAAATTTAGCATGGCACCTCTATAAGTAACCGACAATCTGTGGATTCGTAGGTCCTTTAAGAAAGCAGCAGGGAATTTCTTGGATGCCATAGGTTTCTGGGTAGGCGACGTTGGAGATGTAGGGTTTCCTTTCAACCACCAGGTATCTTCCTTGCATAGAAGCGCCGGAGGTGACAACTGCGTCGTAGTATTGGCATGCTTCGAAGTCAGACTAGCTTCATTTAAGCGACCTGAATCGCTGAAACTCCTCGATGGTACTAAAAGATTCGGATAGTTAGCTAAAAGAATGTTATAAATGTTTTTGTTGCTGGCCAATAACTCCAAAACTTCCACAGGGATCTTTTCTCCATCTCTGATGTACGTCGGCAAATGAACTAACGAACTATACAACCTGCTCTTCTCGTGATCGAACTCTGGGTCTTCGTTGGTTTCAACGATTGGTTGTAAAACGCTGGCAGTACATGTACCAGTACTAACAGAGAAGGAATCGGCCGACTTAGGATGTTTCTTCCTCTTCAACTTCCTGTTCTTTTTTCGCTCTTTCGCTAACGATTTCTGTTTCTCCGAGGTCCAAGGGAGGTCCCGCATTAAGGCTCCGCACACCACCATGTTCAGGAAGAGCCCTGCAAGGATTAAAGTTGTTCCTCTCCATCCGTACTCATCGAGAAGGAGTTGGATCAACGGGGCGAATATGAATGTACCTATTCCGCTACCGCATACGGCTAATCCGGTGGCAAACGATCTCTTCTTATCGAAGTAATAAGCTACGATGACTACGGAAGCTACGTAACACAAGCTAAGCCCGAATCCAGCTAATACCCCGAAGGTTATACACAGGACCATCATGCTGTTGGCTTGGGAGCTAATAATAAACCCTACCGAGGCTAAGAGAGCACCGAAAATGGTTACTTTTCTACAACCGTATCTGTCGGTGAGAAAACTAGCTACCGGGCCAGAAAGCAACGGCATGGCCATGAACAAGCCTCCCACCCAGGCTGTAGTTCCGCGATTTTCCCCGAAGTAATTTAAGAACTCTACGAATATGACGCCGAAACTGAACGTTATACCGTCGGCGATCAGATTAACTACGAAGGAGGCTATGACGACCACCCATCCCCAGCCTCCGTCTGGCGGTCTGGCCTCGGAGATCTCCAGAGATTCGCTAGATGATGAGCTGGAGGATGACGAACTAGATTCATCATCGTCCGATGATGGAGTCGATGGGGGTTCTTGCTTAATAATTGACGAATCGCTATCTTTATGGTTAAACTGCACGTGTAATACTGGTTTGTCGTCCGCTGCCATGCTGATGGTTCGGTTTAAAAGCCGTTCTTTCTCTCCCGATTCGAAAAGCGGGTTTACCTCAACCTTCGACTCATTCTCAGAGTTCTTCTCGTTAAGATACAACTCCAGGTCATACTTCTTTCCCTTATTCTGTTTCCCATTTTTGGACGATGACGACGTCGAAGATTTCTTAGCGCTATCGTTACTTAGGCTAGATCTATTACTATCGCGACACGCGGCGTTGCCGTTACAATTGCTGCTGTCGGTGCAAGGGAGGGTGATATCGCGGCGCGACTTGTCACTTATTTCGTTATCGTTTGGGCCGGCTGATGGGCCGTGAGTGTCCATAGTTTGGGCCATTCCAAAAGGTCTCTGGTGAACTGGCGACGCAACGACGCTAGGGGGAGCGCTGTCAGGGGCCGTTTCATACGTGTAGCTGTGCGGTGGGGCTGCCTGGGGCCGTTATGGAGCTGCGCCTGTTCTTCCATGCGTGGCTGGCGGGGACCACTGAAGATTTAAACAGTTCTGCAACAAAATATTAAATTATGTGTTATTATTAATATAAAATAAATGATACTTCATAGGGGAAATTCTGCTTCATCAAATAAAATACCGTTCAGGGAATTAAAATTCAGGAGATTTTTGTAAGATAATTTCAGGTTTCATATACGGGATTATGATCAAGGTTTTTGCAATAATGACATAATGTTCTGGAGTTACTCTCGGCTAAACGGCATATTCCTACAAGAATAAAATATTTAGTAATGATGAAGAGTATAGGGAGATGGCGCTATAGTCGTCGTAAATATGGGTATTAAAAAAAACTGATAACACTAATTTTAAAATATTTTCAGTAGGTATATAAGTATCGATCAAAGCGGGAAAATACAATTTGGAATTATTAATAAATTGTAAAATCTTTTTGTGATGTAATAGATATTATTAAGTAGTCTAGGGTAGTATTATAGGTTTAGTCATGCAAGAAATCAGTGCTTTTATCGTGTGTTTAAATTAAAAACCCTCAAAATTCGTAACAATAATTTATTTTAATTCAACGTAGACCATCAGTTATTTAAATTCGGTTAAATTATTTGTGAACATTTGTAAAGACATTTTAGAATAATTTATGAATAAGTGATTGTTCTTTCTATTTTCTTTCTCTAATCTAATGATGGAGATTTTGTTTCTTCAAAAGTAATTAACCATGTCCTTTTCCTATTTTGTAGATAGTCATATTACGATTTGGTTGATGTATTTTGCATTTTTGTGATATATTAATTTGCTTGTTTAGTTCAGTCATTGGAGATTTTTGCTTGGAAAAAAGTCCGGAAGTTTTGCAACTTCGCAGGTTTATAGGTTTTGGGGCCCCTAACTAAAATCCATAAAATGCACATTTCCAGACTTGCCGCCGGCACCGCCATCTTGCCAAGATGGCGCCCAAAATCGGTATTTTGTAAATATCTCGAAAACTATGCGTTTTTCGCAAAAATTTGAGGAGAGCAAAATTAAAGAAAATAAAATTTCCTATAAAAAAAGTTTCTATGAAAATTTTCGCTAAAGTCAACCGTTTAGGCACAAAATCCCTGGAAATTTTACAATTATGCGTAAAATATGATAAGTATATTATGTATAGTCGATTTTCCGAAATCAAATGTCGATAAGGGTTCACTAAAACAAGTTTTAGTTTAGTTTCTTCAATTGTGTAATAAAACCGTGGCGTATCATTAATTCGCTCATTAATTTATGAATAATTAATGTTAATTATCAAAAATGTGTACCTGTTTCCATACCCCCCAAGAGGTAAAGTATATGGCGCGTTTATTTTAACGTGGTCTCCCCGGAGGCCTATTCCACTAGGTAAATTAAAAACTTTAACTTATCTGCACAAGCCCGACGGACCTGGCTCATTGATGTAAAGTCGATAGTGTCTGCTGTGCTGGGCTCATCAGGGTGGTCTCTCAGTTCGTCCAACTCTTCATCTTCAGCCGCCAGAGGGATATCTACAAGTAAGTCCAACTCCTCTTCATCGGATTCGTCGAGTGACACTTCAGTGATATTGTCACAGGATTTCCCATTACAGTATGCACAAATCATTGAACATTTTAATCCTGCTTTTCTGCATCCGCAAGCTTTACCACAGTTGTTGGTTTTGCATTTACAGGATAAAAATCCCATTAGGGATTTTGGAGCTGGATCTGTCAACGTTGTGACTGGAGTAATGCCTGTTTTTGTTTTTTCCAACCCCATTCTTCGGCATCTTTGGTACAACCAGAGCAATGCTGAACCTGGTGGTAAGTTCGCAATGAATGCTGTCCAGCACGACAATTAATTATTCATAAATTAATTATTATTATATTAAACGAATTAATGATACGCCACTGTTTTATGACAAAATTGAAGAAACTAAACTAAAACTAGTTTTAGTGAACCCTAATCGACATTTGAGTTCGGAAAATCGACTATACATAATATATCATACTTTACGCAAAATTGTAAAATTTCCAGGGATTTTGTACCTAAAGGCAAGAAAAGAAATTTTATTCTCTTTAATTTTTCTCTCTTCAAATTTTTACGAAAAATGAATAGTTTTCGAGATATTTACAAAATGCCATTTTTGGGCGCCATCTTGGCGCCGGCGGCAAGTCTGGAAATGTGCATTTTATGGATTTTAGTTAGGGACCCCAAAACCTATAAACCTGCAAAGTTTCAAAACTTCCGGACTTTTTTCCAAGCAGGCCCCTTTTTTGATCCCCAATGACTGAACTACGTTGTGAGTTTTTTAAACACAACTTCTTCATTTTAACTACTTACAATTTATGTTTACATACGTATCTAATAACAAAATTTAGTAAATACCTTTAAACTAATCGCTGGAATATATTCTTGAAATAGTAAACTGTACTCTGTAGTAAAATATCTCATTTCATCTGATACAAATCATACTAATTCAATTTTCAAGCATTTGTCATAATTGTCAAAAAAATTAACCTAACGTGTGTGTGAAATTTGATGTTTACAAGGTTCAAAATAATTATGTTTTATTAAAATGTATATCACTGATGTTTAGTGCTTCCTACAGGAAATTCTAAAAACATACGGTATTTAAGAAAATTACAAAAAAAAATATTTTTTAAAAGTTTTGAATCTATTTCAGCCTCTGATTTCCGCATCCATGTTTTTCATTTTTTTAATACTTTGGTCAGTTAATAACATTAGAAAATTTTAAGATGCCACTAGATTCGAATAAAGGCAAATTAATAAAATTGCGTTTATCTCATCAAGGGCACCGAAATCGACAAAATATGAAGAGACATCTTTTAATCAGCATTAAACGGCCTACACAATTTTGCTAACAAGAGATAAAAAGTCAGTGGCGCACGTTTTTTTTTGGAAAATATTCCAGTGATAACCCAACTGCACGTCCCTGGTAAATCTGTCAACACTTTTTAGCATTAAACTATGTCGTACTTATAATAACTTTTTTACCCTCGATTTCATACAAATCGGCGAAATCGGAAAAAAAGAGAGACTTTAATCCCCTGAATAGCTACTCCCCACGAGAGATGGCACATGTTTTTGAAACACCCTGTTTATTTATACAGTTTGATTTGAATTGATTGGATTAGACACGGTTTTGGCATTTACGAAGATATTTTCGTATATTGTAATAGTATAGTTGCACATTCTTATAGAGGGTGAGTCTTAAATAAGTGCAAATATTTTCGAAAATATACTCGATAAAAGAAACATATTTTCTCTCTAAATAAGTCCAAAATAATCGAGTTATTTTATTTTAAATAAATAAATTAAAAATTATAATTTAATAAAAAAAATAGTTTAAAATAAAGCTTTTTGCTTAAATTTTGAAAACTACTGGATCTTTTTTTATCTACCAGCCCCGAAAATATACCCGATAAAAGAAACATATTTTCTCTTTACTGTTTTTCAAATAAGTCCAAAATAACCGAGTTATTTTATTTTAAATAAATAAATTAAAAATTATAATTTAATAAAAAAAATTGTTTAAAATAAAGTTTTTTGCTTAAATTTTGAAAACCACTGGATCTTTTCTGGATTTTCTTTCTTGTAAATTTAATCTACTACCCATGCTTCCATATTTTCCAAAAATTATGTTTTTTAAGTAAAAACTAAAAACATTTTCAAAAATATTTAAAAAAATTTCAATTTTCAATTTTTTTTTTCGTAAAAAACCTCATAATCGTGATTCTATGGCCGAATATACTATTACTAAAAATATTTGCACTTATATAAGTTTATTATTATATTAAGCTTATATCTGTATTGTTAGATATATTACTATTAATTTAATACTAGAAGTTTATTTAATTTAACATCATCAAACCCCAATAACTAAAAATACATAAAGTTTCTACATTAACGGATATAATATAAATACTGGTTATTATTTTTTTTTGTTTATGTCACACAATAAAGTGGAAATTATTACTAATTTATATTACTGTTTCTTCGTTTATAATAACTTAAAATTAATGAGTAAGTAATAATTGTATCTTTCTTAGGTTTTTTGATTTTAGTAACAAATAAAAAAAATATTTCGGTTTTTATTCCTGTAATTTTTTTAAAGCAATGTCCATATTTTGAATATTGTGACACTTACCTTATACTTTCGTTTTCTTATTTGTAATTAAGTATAAAAAATAAAAACTCAAACCAAAAACATAAATATCAAGAACACGAAAATGCGACAGTATTTTATCATTTACCGCAAAACCGAGTTAGGACCCGAAACAACCGTTTAGTATACGCGTATACTGGCTATTTAACGAAAACACTGTGCTAAATTAAATGTATAGCGGACATGTCGGTAAAGAACTGAAAGATAAGTAACATGACCAATAAGCAGAATTGTGTAAATAAAATTAACTTCCATTAAATTTCATTACGGGCCTACGCTAATGTAGAGCCTAGGCTGTTTAAGAACAATGGAAAATAATAATGTGGGATGTAGGTAATCGCAAAACGGTAGCTTATAGGTATGTTACATTTTCTCCATAATGCAAAGTTGCATAAGATAAATAAACTCGTATTGGAAAATCAAGCGAATGAATAAGAGAACATAAAATGTCTATTTGATTTTCTATTCGAATTAGAAGTGTACAAATTATGTGTCCAAAGTTGTACAGGGTGGCGTACCTCATTCGTCTCGGTTGAATATACAAAAACAGAAAGATGTAGAAACAAAATATTTTATGAGTATATGTGAGAAGGCAATATGCATAATTTAAAATTATTTCGAAATGTATAGGGTATATCAGAACTAAGATCTATACCAAAGTTAGATCTTTTATAGAATTGGACATATATATATGTCTCTGGACATAAAATAAGGCATTTATTATAAGGATTAAATATGTTTACAAGTTTTGGTTTTTGAGATATTTAAAGATATTTAAATATACATATACATGCTATAATAAAAAAAAACATTGTTTTTTACACACATTATACATTACATTATACGTACATTATATTTCAGAATTAAT